CGACTAATGAATATGATAACTAACAAAGAAGTGTTCAAAACAGAGAAGTTGCTGACATAAACTACAGATAATGAAGGGAGAAGAATTACAGTTCTAGTGATGACATGAGCTTTCGTCGAAAGTAAAACAGAATTGTTGAACGTTTTTGAACTGGCCAAATTTCTGTAAATTTCTTGGTTTCATTGTCCTGGCCAAGATTTTCAAAGGAGACATACTTTTCAGAGCACTTGGGATGAGAATGTTGTCATGCCAGTAGTGAACAAGCGAGCTGTTGAGTTTGCCCGATTTGCTACAAGTAATGATAACGTTTTTCGGGCAAAATATTTTTTCTTACATCTCTAGATGAAGGAAAAAGACTTTTAGAAAAAGTTGAAAGAAAAGACGCACGTGGCTTACTCTCACTGGTTCGACCAGAAGGCGCTTTAAGACAGATAAATTGGCTCGACGACGTGTCCGTTCATTACCTGTAGTTTATGCAAGGGGGAAGAAGCATACTTCTGTACTTCTGGTACTTCTCCGTACTTCAGAAGTACGGAGAAGTACAAAAAAGTACGAAGAAGTATCAAGAAGTACGGAGAAGTACCGAGAAGTACAGAAATATGCTTTTTCCCCCTCGAGTTTATGTCAGCAACTTCTCTGTTTTGAACACTTCTTTGTTAGTTATCATATTCATTAGTCGAACTGTCAGATATTTCATGTGTGTGTAAGTTTATGTGAAAATAAAAGCGTGAAAACCCCCTTTATCATCCATATGATCGAAAAATCTCAAGATCTTTAGAGTTAATCGGGCTGAAACCTTTTGGTACAGCTACTCAATACTCAGATCTATTTGTGGAAAAGTTTTGATTGATCAAAAAAAAGAAAAAAAGTCGGTAAATTTTAGTTTTTATTATGCAGAGTAAAAAGAATCCAGTAAAAACTGGATATCTCAAAAGGGAAGGACGATGAGCACGAAATGTTTTTTAACTTTTTCTAGTCTCATCGAGGTCTTCATGCAGCCAAAAGATAGAATCAAAATACTTTTCGATAACAGTATACAGTTTTCAACGTTGTAAATTTTTTATTTAGATTCTACTAATGCAGCGCATATACATCGTGATGGTGCTGCTAAAAAAAGATCACTTTTTTCTAACGATAATTTTTTGTCATATGTTAACAAAAATGAACAACAACAACAACAACAACAATACCTTGCCAATAATCATCAGTTGAAAAATGATCATTCCAGACGTGAAATATTACCTTCAGAACACGATGATATTTATAAACGATTAGCATCACCACGTTTAGGGAAGAGAGCATCAGATTCATCTGAATATTTTAGTTGGGCAAATAAAAATGATCGTCCATTAGAATATCTTCGAGGTAAACGAGGAAATAAATTTTGGTCATTCATAAAAAAAGATCTTAGCCATAATGACCATTCTCTCTTTCATAATTCATTGACAAACGGATTTTGGCGATCAGGAATTGTTGGACGGTAAATCAAATAGATTTGTTCTTCGAATTAAAATTTATCTACCGTTTTTCTGTTTGTTATTTAAAAAAATGTTTTTTTTTTTATGTTATTTTGAATATGTGAAAACAATGACATTGATGATATTAAACAAAAAGTCAATCTAATTTCAATATATATTATCGCTTCATAAACCTCAGAATACACTTTTTTATTCTTCAAAAGTAAAGGGAATAACGTTTTGTCTTTTTATTAATAACTAAATCTATTTAAAATATTCATATGCTGTTAAATCATAAAATTGGTTTTTCAAATGATGAAAATTTTGTGTTAGTAAAATATTTAATGAATTTGTTGCAAATTAAATTTAAATATTTGAGTTTTGATATGCATTTCACTTGTGCAATAAAATTTAACAAAGTAACTGATTATCAACCGTCTGATATTGTTGGATGTTCTCAATTACTCTACGATTTAAGAGAAATTAATGCCAACAGGTATCCAATACAATTAGAGTACAAACAAGTATTGAATTAGACGTATATAAATAAAAATTTTCTAACAGAGAGCAAAATAGAATTTTTATTTTAACAATAATCATAACAGAAAGTCTATTTCGGAAACATTCATTTGTTATTAACGATTGATGCTGAAACGTAAGTATTGTTTGATTCAATACAAGAGGCCTGTGTTGGTCTTCCTTTGTGAAAAGTTTGTATGTGTGATGATGATTGAGTCAGATTTCTGACTGCTTTCCTTGATCTTTGTTCATTTCAGCTAAGTATCTCTATAAAAAAAAGTTTTATATCAACAATGGTTGTGCATTCGATATCGAATAACTCTTTCTTTTTAGCACCGATGCGCATTGTTGCGAAATTTTTACATTCTTTCTGTCAATGACGTGCAGCAGTATTTATTTTAATTTTACTGTCAATGATCAAAAGAGGATGAAAGCGAAGCGGACCAAATATATCTTTGATGCCATTTTGCAGAGCTTGACGAGTACTACAAATAAGAGAAAAAAAATTCGACTGAGTACTTTTTCTGCTGGGAGGCCTGAACATTGGCTGTTTTGGAAAAAAGGTCTTCAAAAATGAGTTTCGTACTCAGAGACGAAGATAGATATCGACATTATCCTTTTGTCATTGGAGTAAGCAGCTCTTTAGCTTCATTTTTATTTCCAGTGTAAGAACTTTTTGTTTTGCCTTCAGGAGAGGTGAAATACTGCCCTTATAAGTGCCCTTTTTTCATTTTCGGCTGTCTGGTGACAGCTGGCCTGCGCTTGTAAAAGTAGTAGCACAAGTTAGGACTATCAGCATTTATACTAATTGAGCTGCTTCTTCGTATGGTATATTAAACGTCGATGTTAACTTTATTGATGTAAAGAAAAAGTAGGTCAAAGTAGCTTCCTGCTACGACGTCAAAACACGACATTCCTAAAAAGGTATGTAGAAGATGACTTTTTTAGTAAACAAATGTGGAATTCTATGTACCTTAGATATAAACTAATTAAAAAATATTAAACTTTCGTATATTATATTCTTTTTTACCATTTTATCGTTCGAACTTTTAATTATCGCAAGATCTGACTATCATGCAAGCCCACACACACACATAAGTATAGCCACTGTAGCGTAGATAGTAAAAAAATTGCATTTGAATGGGTTTGGACAACTAACTTCTAAAACTATAACATAAAACTAACTAGACTTAACTTATCATTAACTTGATTGAGTCAAAATTGTTTAAAAAATAATTATAGGGAATATTTTTTGTAGCAGATTTTTTCGACGAATTCTATTAGAATAAGCACTTTGCGAAAAATGTTCTCTATAATTATTTTTTAAGCAATTTCGATCCAATTAAGTTAAGGATAAGTTAAATAGTTTGTACTTTCGTAGCTTTTGTAGTTATACTTCGCATATTTACCACTAACATTTCCATTGTACAATACAATTAAATTAGGAAAATAATTAGATCTTACTTGGTGTAACTGTTTCAATGTCACTTTCTGACCGGATAAAAATCTGTCGATTATTTTGATAGTAACGGGTGTAAAATAAAGAATGTCATAGTTTTTATTTTCAGTTTTTCTCCTCTCTCTGCACTCACAGAGCTCATCTTATTACCAAAAGATTTTCTATTCATTTCTCTACAAAATGGTGTATCAAAGATGATCCTAAGATTTGAGACGCTGTCTTAATTGAAAAAACATCGAAATATCCTAAAAACTTAAAAAAAGTTAACACAAAAAAGTGTATTTGTGCGGCATGAAGTTGAACGTATGCGTAGTGTCTAGAGCAAGTGGGCCAAAATGTAGCCCTCAAAAGTCTCTACCACATAGCTGTAATGCGGATTTTCTGTCGCTATTTTTGTGTTTTCAGTAATGCTTTTGTTACAAATGCCCTATGACCGTTTTTTCAGCTTTTTCGACCTGCATTTTGGGGCTATTTGTAAACTGAACCAATCAAGCTCATTCTTGTGTCATTTTGAAGACTTGAAGGTCTACTCGACTCACGTGCGAGTTCAAATTTCAAAATTATCGGAAAAGATTTTAATTTTTTAGGACATTTCGATGTTTGTTCAATTAAGACAGCGTCTCAAATCTTAGGATCATCCTTGATACACCATTTTGTAGAGAAATGAATAGAAAATCTTTTGGTAATAAGATGAGCTCTGTGAGTGCAAAGGGAGAGGAGAAAAACTGAAAATAAAAACTATGACATTCTTTATTTTACACCCGTTAGTACGTAGTACCATCTTTCGTAAAGAATCTAACAAATGGACGAAGCTCAATACAATGTCGTAATATATTTAGATTTTCTCTCGTAAGATCTTCACGTACTGTAACGTAATAGTATTCAGTTTCGTTGAGATATTGACGATTTTTATAAAATAATTCATGTGAACGACAAAACGTGGGACGAACGATTGTAGAACGAGGAGTAGATGATTGAGGATTATATTTACCAACACGATGACTTCGTGATATATCAGTTTCACACACAGGTATATCAAGACACTCAGCATTCTGTGATACTATTTCATTTGTATTTTCAAATTTATGCTATTTTTCTTATACTGAACCATTGCATCCGGTACCCTATAAAAAAATTCCAGTGCGGCACTGGTAAAAATCAGTGCGGTACTGCTAGTGCGTACCGATGCGCATGGCATGTCATCGGTCACTGGCTGGCACCGGGGCGCATCCGTGTCCAGCAAATGCCGATTGGTACCCCTTGCGCACCAGTGCCGATATATTTCTGCCGAAAGAGTACCGCACTGGTAATTTATTTAATAAATTTAATTACATTATGGTTGTTTATGCTGAATTTTAATAATAATTAGAATGTGGCACTGATCAGTATCACATCGACACTGATCAAACCATGCGGTATTGCCTTAGCACTTCTCTTATGAGAAGGAAGAGGTGAAGTCAGAAAGACATTCGAAATATTAGAAGTATCCTGTGATGTTAATATAGACAGAAATGACAAAACAAAATGGTGATTAAAAACAAAACTTCGGCACTGGTGCGAGATTTTTACATTCTTTCTGGCACCGATGCACATCGGTGCCCAGAAAAAAAATTATTCGGCACTGGTGCGCACCGGTGCACAACCAGTGCCGATAAAATATTTTTCATTTATAAAACAATAAGTTTGGAATGAAAAAATATCTATCGAAATTGATCCCGTGAACCAGCAAGACCGATTTCCCAAAAAACAACGATTATTGTTTTCTGAAAACGTGTGTTTTTTCTTTAAAAGCATATATGACTAACAAATAATAATTATTGATGAAAAATTAATTTATGAGCAAAAAATCCGGATGTCCATCCACCTATTAAGCAAAAAATGCTCACTGTGCAGAGCGAACCGGTGCTCAGCAAGTGCTGAATCAGGACTGATTAGCATCGATGCCGCACTGAAATGTTTTCTATTGTCGGAAAAGTGCCACATTGATTCAGACAGTAGCATTGGTACGCACCCGTGCCGAACAAGTACGCATAAAATATACATTACACCACCGCGGCTGCGGACTAGTGATAGACATAATGTTATGTCGATGCACGAACAAAATCATTCTAATCATGGTTGGATGCAGCTTAATGAGCTGATTTTAATTACATAGTTTGTGTTGATTGACAATGCCCTTTAAATGATTAAAAAAACCGTTTTATTTAAGGTGCTCCAAATGTAAACGTGCAGTGGAAAATGTTTTCCTTCGAATCACACACGGTTCTATAGAGAAAGAGGAGAAAAATTGAAAATACTAATACTATAATTATTTATGGTCGATCCGTTATATATATTATATATATATATATATATGGATGAAAATACGTACGTCTATAGATAAATAGATTCTAAAAATCTGATGAATTTCCACAAAGAGGGCATAATCTGATGTCTTCTAGGTGTATGTGACCATAATTAGACTAAAAGAAGCACATGTATATCTATGTGAATAGGAATGAATCCAGTCATTGATAGTGTTAGTACAAATGTGCACAATATTCGTGGGCGCTTCAATGAGTTTTCTAGGATCTTTCGGTATTTAAGGTGTCCCCAATGCAAACGAGCAACGGAAAATGGTTCGATAGAGCTCACGAAGCTGATCAGGAATACTAGCTTTTCATTTTTTTGAAACCAAGTTTTGAGTAAGAAATCTGTAAAATGCAAAAATCGCTCACCAGTCAACAATAATACTTTTCGAAGAATATGCTGATTTGTAAAAACTAAGAGAACTTTCCGAATCGACTAGCATTTCCGATGTTAAATACTAAAAGGAGCAGAGGTAATCGAGCGGAGTTTCTATAAAGTAGAAAATCAACATTTTCTAAACAGTGAGAAAATTGCTGAGGATTTTATAAAAGTTGGAAAATCCTTGCCGATTTTCTATAAAGTAGAAAATAATTCCAAATTACAGTAGTACGTGGTGAGGTGATACAATAAAATGGTACGATTGAAGTTGTGCGATGAAGAAAGAATGTATGACCAAGAAAAAGATAAGAGAATGACTATCGCATCTTATATGTGGAAGGCCTAGCCTGTAACAAGGATGAGAATGACTAACTGACTAACTCCCATCTCTACCTTCTAGCCAGGGTAATAGAAGTCTAGATGTGAATGTTCTTTATATGTACACTTAATTTGGTGGATTCATACTAGTGCACGAAATAAAAAATCTTATCCTTCGGTACACACCACGTTTTCAGCTTCATTTTCATATTGGCCATCAACATCAATTAGTATATTTGACACTATTCAAATCTAGAAAAAAATCTCACTTTCGTTTTTCCACTTAATGTCTACATGATTGCCCACTGTGTGACGATTATTTTTCCAAAATAGAAACAGCAAAACGGTTCAGAGCTGGGCAAGTCAAATCAAAAATGATTTAAGTCAAGTCAAGTCAAGTCATTTTTGACTTAACTTGACCTGACTTGAAAATTTTTTTAAAAGGCTTGACTTGTAACTTGGCATAAAAAATCAAGTCAAGTTATGCATATTTTTAAACCACTTATGTGATCTAATTTTAAATAATAATTCATAATGATTTGGGAATGTTGATGTTATAATATGTAAGAATTTACGCAGAGTAGCAAGACGCGCATTTTGCAATAGTATAGCAGGTCTGTGTTCTAATACTAAGGAATGGAGACTCTTTTATGCCGTTTTCTACAGAAAAAAAAATTTCAAGTCATAATTTGTGACTTGACTTGGAAAGTCCTGAGGCTTGACTGGTGAAATTTTTTTATTGCTCATGACTTGACTTGACTTGAGAAAATTTTTGATGACTTACTTGACTTGTGACTTGGAAAATCCGTGATTTACCCACCTCTGGAACAGCCATACTTTGCACCCGTTTTATTTCAAAATAAGTAAAATAAATACGCAATAGAGACAAATAGGATAAATCAGCATCAGATTCGAGTTTTTTTACGAAAATATTCATTCTGGCAGCTGTGTCAACTTCGAGCATTGCTGTGCCAGACAAAACTTTGAATTTCCTGTCGACTGTAGTGTTCAACTTTGAAGTTTACTACCAACAAATAATTATAAAGACGAAATATTAATTTTTTCTACAGGCAAAATATGCAAAATCTTGTAAGTTATATATATATGGGCGTATACATTCATACGCTTGTATACAAGTGTTTTGTAGTCTATAATAGTGCCAGAATATACTCAGTTATCGAGAAGCCAGCAGGCTCATGAATATTTCAAAAATAAGTAGTCCGTATTGACATTGGACACTGGTATCCTGACAACTTTCTAATAAGTCCATTTGTTTCTACAAACAAAAGTAATTAAACAACAGAAAATTGTTGAAATAGACGAAACAATAAATAAACGCACACACATGTAAATGTACAGAAATATAAAACACAGAATAGAACTTAGATCAGATTTGAGAGAGAGTCGAAATATATCAAGAAAAATAGAGAAAATAACAGCCATGTGCTCGGAAATACATTTGTCATTAATTGTATTATGTTATATTATGTATTATGTTGTATTATGTTGTGAAATAGCGAAAGACTAGAGAAAAAAATACTAACCAAAATAATGATTTTCACTATGATAAATCATAGTTAAGATATATATTACTGTTCAATTATACTCGATAGTCTGATAAGTCGTACCTGGTCATTTTTTTTCTGTTAAGTTGGTAGTTGTTCTTGTTCTTGTGATTGTTGTTTATGTAATTTTAATAAATTTTGTTGTTTGTTTTGTCGCTCTTGTTTGTTTTGTTTTTGTTTTTCCAATGATTGTTTCTGTCGAATCAAATCAGCTTTTTCTTCTGTTTGAAAAAGTGCTGCACGATTTTGATTTCGATGTTCATCTTTTTTAACCCAATGTCCGTATAATAAGAAAGCAGCACTATCAATAAGCTTACGATAGGCTTTAAATCGATACGGATTTTCTTGAAAAGGCAATAAAATAAACTGAAGATACAATTAATGAAAAAAAGTATTCTCCTACCAAGTAGTTCGTTTCCTCTAATTGGCTGTGGACGATAATGAAGCGTTCTTAGGCGATGAACTGACCAAACTAATATGATATGAGCTTTCAGTGTTCGTTTAGCCATAAAATCTTTCCGTCTCGTTCGATCTATATTAAAAAATGGATGTTGTAGAGCTTGTTCAGCTGTAAAACGCCTTTCAGGTTCTACAATTAATAAATGCCGAATTAAATCCTTAGCTGTTTCAGTAACATCATCCCATTCGGATCCATCCATTGTATATTGTCCATCCATTATCATTCGAAACATTAAATGTTGACGTCGATGCCAAAATGGTGGTAGACCACTGAGTAATGTATACAGTATCACACCACATGCCCACATATCTATCGGTAACCCATAACCGGGCATATTTTCATATAGAGAACATTGTAATAATTCGGGTGCCATGTATCCCGGTGTGCCACAGAGATCATAAAGTGCTTCGCCTTCTTTGAGCTGTACCGCAAAACCTAAATCAGTTATTTTCACATTCATATTATTATCCATCAATATATTTTCTGCCTTCAGATCACGATGAACAACTCGATGAACATGTAGATGTAAAACAGCATTCAATATACTACACATGATTGTACGAGTGCGTTTTTCTGAAAAACAAAACAATTATTACAATTTTCATGTCTTTTTAAATTAAAATAGTTACCGGATAAACGTACGACTTTAGTTAAATAATCAAATAATTCTCCATTTGGACATAATTCCATGACAATAAATACATAATTTTCAGTTTCAAATGTTGCCACAATATCAATGATATTTGGATGGTCCCCTACTAGACTTAAAATTTGTATTTCACGCATTGTTGCTTCGCGTATATCCTGACTATCATCATTAAATTCAATTATTTTACATGCATATTCTTTTCCAGTACTTCTCTCAACACATTTTCGTACCACAGATGATAAACCTTTACCTAGCACTTCTTGTGGTTCGAATTTTTGATAAAATCCTTTAGCTGTTTCACGATCCGGCAGTTCATCAAATTCCAGATCGAATCCCATTTTTATGATTATTAATCCATTCTATCTATATGTCATTAAACATTAAATTTGAAAAATAAAACATGCAATTATTAATGATCTAAATAGAGATAATCATTTGTCTTCTCACACTTGTATAATCTCAACCATATATCGCGTCGATTCTTGGTATGAGTTATCTTTTTGCCGTCTATAATTAGCAAAATATATTTTTCACCGAACACTGTTCTCATTGTTTCATTACGATATACTTGTATGACTTTATTTTCCCTAAATTCAAGCAACAGATTATTTCTGTCATAAAATTAAAAGAAAAAAATCTTATCCAAATAGTTTCAGAATTTGTGTACTAGAATATGGAATATCCTACAGAGACGTTACAGAATCGTTTTAGTGTTTATCATCCGTTTACATACTACTGCGAGAAAACAACTGATTATACAACAAGTGAAGTTGCTTTATTTTTAAATAAACAACATCAATAACAAAAAAAATTTAAAACAGACAAAATAGATTCTCTAGCTACTTTTGCTCATTCTCATCCTCACTACCTTCTTCTTCACTGTCAAATGAATTTTCTGGTACACTGTAAATACGTAGTGTTGGCTAAACAGAAAGTGAAATTATATAAAATTTAAATAGACATTCTAACATTAATCTTACTTTCATTGGATCTTTTGTAATTAAATATCGTCCATCGTCTTTATTCATAAAAAAATCGACTAATACTCGAACAATACCCCATCCATTATCAATATTTAAAGCCATTTGTGTGGCAAATTCTAACGGTTTAAAATGTTGCATACCTAATATAGAATGCCTTGATGCATCTTTAAAATTTTGACGTGATACATAACTAAAATGATGAATTAAATCAACGTACGTCTTGTTCAATAATCATATAACTACCCAAATTTAATTTGATCTGAACCAGCTAATATTGCACATGTTGTCCATTTTGCTAATTTAAATCCATTATTACGTAATTCTGCAGCTAATACGGCACCACGTTGCATATCTAATTTCGTTCGCCAATCAAGACCACTGCCGATCTATGAAAAAGAAAGAAGAGTTGCAATTGTATATCGTATTATTCAAATAAAATTTAAGCTTATACTTTTGGATTCCATTCATTTAATGCTTTGACATTAATAAATTGTTCTTCTCCATTGGGACCAATTTGAACAGCGTCTTGTTCACATCTGATAACAATAACACAATTATTTCCTAAATCCCATGCACGATAACGATATGCAACCGAAGCCGCTTCATTTTCTTCATCTGGTTGAATAAATGGATTCGGATTTGTAAATTTATATCGTTCTTCATTCTATATTTACAAAATGAAATACAAGAATTTATGTAAAAATTATTGTCCTATATACGAACCATTTTCAACACTTGTTGAGAGAAATTATGATTAATAAATATAGCTTCCATTGCAAGATTTTTAGCTGAATCCATTGAACCATCTTCTGGTGGCGGTTCATTTGCTGTTTCATTCATTGTTAACATATCTAAATAATAAGAATCTACGTATACTTCTGATTTTCTCTATTGAAAAAAACAAAATCATGTACCAATTGTTGAATCTTCTCGTTTATCAAAAAACAATCTTGAGCCAAGTTTCTACAGCGAAAAGAATAATATGAAAATAATTTCAAATGATCAGTAGAAAAACTATACATCGACAACAATATCCCACGGATAAACAGATCTTGTACAACACATCAACGTTGATATAATAGCATCTGTAGCAAAAATATTTCCACGTGTTTTACAAATCTAAAATTATTTAGAAATAAAAAAATAATAATATAAGATAAGAGAAAGATAACTCACTTGCCGGATCACTGGATCTTTTGTTGTTGTTATTTTATGAAATAAACGATTAACCATCACTAATTTTTTTTCACTCTTTGTACTTATGCGATCATACGTTTTATCATAATATTCAAGCGAACCGCATACATTTCTGAAAATGTCAGAAAATTATTATAAAATTTCTATAATTCTTAACCGTTTTAGCCTTTTGTCACGTACATTTCTTCTGGTTCACCAACAGAAGGTAAACTCAATTTTGACAGACTATTAAATGATATTTCTTCAATAACTTGCCAATTTTCACGGACACGTACAGATGGTTCACGTTGTTTTGCTTGTTGCTAAAATTGAATACTGAGTAGAATTTAATTGGTATTTTTGTTTGTAGACATCTTACATGTTGACGAGGATCAGCACGATTGCCGTATTGTTTTTGCCATTTTCTTAGTTGACGCATTTGATCCCTAAAAATAAATATTAACTATTCTTTTCCTTTCTTCAAATAAAAGAAAATGAGGGCAATGGCTTACATTTCAAGATTTTTCATTGTTTTTGATTTTTTTTGTGTGCCAGAAAACGCTTTTTGCATTGGTTGAAACCTTTGATTCTGTTGTTGTTGTTGACGAAAACGCTAAACAAAATAAAGTGTAAATGTAGAATGAGAAAAACAACAAATCAGCACACAACATTACATTTTGTTGAAAGCGTGTTTTTTTCTGATATGCTGGTCGGGGTAATCGACTAGAATCAACAAGTTGAAATGTATTTTCATCATCTTCATGAATATATTGATACATGCCAGTGCCAGAACCATATTGTGATCGATATCGATCTAAACGAGAGATAAAACCTGACACTTTTGTTGAACAAAGATAGATTATGAACACTTACTGTAATTACGTTTATCGCCATACACTGTTCCCGTCCAATCTGCTACCTGATCACAAAATTGAACAGAAAAAGTTAGAGGAAAAATTATCGCTCGAAAGTAAATGTCTATTAGAATATCTATAAGTTGCTCTTATTTAAATTTGACTAATATCTTCGTCTGCTCATATGTCACCATAAAAAAGTCACATACATGCTATTTCTACTACAGATATACTTTAACAGATCCACTTAAATGCATTTTTGCATCATTCGTTATCTTTGACATTCATCACCTTTCCTAATGTATCACTTTTCGAATAAGGTTGATAGGGCATATCTTTGTATTGAAACGTATCCTCAGTAGGTCCCCAGCCATCTTTGTTATCGACGACCACTGGGGCTTGAAAATGAGCTCCAGGCATTTTGTCCTTGATAGATAATTTGATTTAATCTAAAATCGTCTAGATTTTAATCGATAACAAAATATTTCACAGTTCGTCAAAATTTAGGGTTATCACCTGTACAGAAAGCTAAAATAGTTTTTAAAAAGACTGACAGTAGTGTCATTCAGTTTCATTACTCTATATTGATGCTGTTATCATTAAAAAAAAGTCTTATATTCAAACCCAACAAAGATTTTCACCATATTACGTAGTTTATTCAAACTAAACTGAATTATCAGAATGTACATAATAATTTCTGAAGGAATAGTTTAATTAGAAAACTAACACGGTTGAAAATGTGTTAGATTATATTTGTTTAAAAAATCAGAAAAACTACACAACATCTGACGATATGAAAATAAATTACTAAAATATACTTATGCTGTATCAAATCTATCCCACTGCATCTATACTGGAGAAAATAACTTAGCCAAAGAAACAATACATAACTCGTTATTTATTTCAACAGAAAAAGATATTAGATATATAACTAGACACAAAACAAAACAGCTAAAGTAAATTCTTTTTCAGTTTCTCTTTTTGTTGTTTCTCTTTTTTTCTTGTTGTTATTCTCTGATGTTTTTCTTGACTACTCAGTTGAGGTGTACGTTTTCTATCACGCAAAAGACTTTCCCACTGACGTCGATTTTGTAAATATAGCTGAAGTGTTGCACGAGCATCTTCGACCTGAAAAATATACACTCAAATATAGTCTATATATTACTAGTAAAGACAAAAACTCACAGAGTCATGTTCACCAATTTGTATTTTCATTCCGAGTACTTTTTCCACCAATGCTTTCAGAGATGGCAATCCTCCGTTGAATAATGAACGAAATTCTTTGTACCGTTGAGTATCACGTATTTTACGTTTTGGATGGCTTAAAAAAAGAACCTATACAAAATAGTTTTGTTATTCCAAGGTGCGATCTCTCTGATTTGTTAGAAATATGCCTGATCATTGAAAAACAAATGAGATCAACGATTAGTGATGCGTAAAAACCATTGTGAGTCTTCCAAATAGAGATCTGCACGGGCACAGAAATCCCCGTGGCAGCGGGCTGGTAACTGCTCCCGTCGACGGGCACAAGTTTTCAAAAAAAATATTTTAAAGTTTTTGAGCAGCAAAATGGTACGAAGATTTGAATTTTTGAACTGAAAATTATTTTTCCTGCACGGGCAGCGAAAAAAATCCACGGACTGCTATGGGAAAAAAATTTTGCCTATGCAGATCTCTACTTCCCAGACTTCGCAAGAGCATTAGTGAAGGACTCTTGATAGCACAAAAAAAGTATTTAATAATGGCAAAGAATGTAATAACTACTTTTAAGTCATTGTGAATGGCATGTCCGACAAGAATTTTACCATTGATAATGTCGGCCACTTCTTTTTGTACAGTTTCAAATGGAATACCTAAAAACAAATCATGTCAGGATGATAGAACTAACTAAAAATAAATAAAATGAAAATTCCTACCTTGCTCAAGAAGCTGAGGAGTTATACCACTAACATGTGTTCGATAATCAACAATCTGTTCACGTGGTTCAACATATTTATCATATATGCATTCACCAAGTTGATTTACGAGTGATACGCGAGCAAGCATATTATCTATCCCATTTTCGCCAATACCGACCATTTCACAATCAAGACATACTACTTTTGTTATTCTGAACAGTAAAAATAACTAAAATAGTGATCAAAACGAGCAACAGTAGGCACGGAATCAAATTCATGTCCAACATGGAAATAGAGAAGCGATTTCAGTGGAGAACTAATAGTTAACATTTTAGAAAAGATCAAAAGTTCAAATACCTTGGTTGTATGGCACTCGCTACAGCAGTAACTTGATTTTTCAATCCTTTATCATCTGTCGTCGATTTTTGCCTTTTAGATGGAGGCGGTAGGGTGCTCTAAAAAAGAATATCAGTTATTCAAATGTTGAAAACCTGAAAAGCATCTGACATACTGATAAAGATTTCCAGTTACTAGATACAGTATTTGTGTTAATTACGATTGCCATTTACATCTGAAATAATGCGAAGACTATCTATCATCCTAAAAGTCAGCTAATATCGTTCGCAATGCAATGCGACTTTTGGTATTATTCCTATATCTGAGATCCAAGTTCATCCCAGAAAAGTTATCTATATGGTAAACGCTTTGTTCGGCGACCTGACGACTATACCTCATTTTGTGATCTTTCCTTTTTTTTTGTTCCTTTGGTTTTAGTCTTGTCTTGGGTCTTACAGAATGTTTGTCTGTGTGTGTGTGTACGCAAAATGTCGAAAAATGGCTGTCAGATATTCCATGGATAGGCCAATCACAAGAAAGAAAAGTAGACAATTCTTTTTTAACCACGAGAGAAATAAATACTCGAAGAGACTACTGAAATCTCCACTGATGATGCAGGGAGAAAAAAAACTAAGCAAACTTTTCCCTGTAGTTCGAAACAGAGTTGTCAGCGCAGCGCTAGTATCAATGCGTTTTTCTGAGTTTTTTTAGAAAAACGGATTGATACTAGCACTGCGGTTGGCAACCCTGATTCGAAGATATATCTCACCGAAAATCAGTCAGTTTTGATAACACAATAAAAATCTTCTACGGATAATAAAACTTACAGAATATAGATAGTGTATTATGGCAAATCGATCGTAATACTTCCACCCCTCTTGGGATGGGGGTGTCCAGAAAAGGTTTCAGTTTTATATTGCATTGTGTGCTTTTTCCATGGAATCAGAGAAGTTCATAACATTTCTGAGCTATATTGGCTATTACGATGCCACCCGTAGATTCGTCCCACTGGTGCCAGTTCGTACTCTGTCTTCTCTTCTCTCGCCTTCTCCAAAGCTTGCACATCTTAAATCTATCCGTAATCAGCGTTTTCGTAAACTTAAACGCCGTTATACTTCTCTTAACCTTAATCCACACAGGGTGTTGAGCGTTTACTTCAGAAATTGGATAAAAAGTCTTATGATTTCTTGGAATAAGATCTTATAAGACCATAGGAAATCTTGATATACGATTGCTCGTCCTGGGTTGGTTTTCGCCCTAAACATTCTACTCTAGATGCTTTGTTGTTTTTATCTTCAACCGTCTTTAACTTTCGGAATGCTGGGACGTGTCTTAAGACACTCCAACATACTTGCATCGGAACAATGGTGTCTTTGGAATGAGTTTCTCATCTTTTTAGATATGGAAACAAGACACAGAATGTGAAATTGATTTATTAAAAATTAGTGGTGATCCAGCAAACATGAATTTGTACGTTACAAAAGCGATAGATGCTGTATTTACCAAAAATGAATTAATTAACCTTGATGTATCAAAGATAGAAGAAAATGAAGATTATATTTTTCTTCAAGGTAGTGCATCTACAGAAAGAATCTTTTTTAATTCCAGAATAGTTTTTTGGAGTGGGACGAAAGAGAAAAAAGAAAAAGCGATATATGAGCTCACTAGTCGTGCTATCCACATCATAAGCATTCTCTTTTTCTTTGTAGAAGCTGTTCGTTCCAAGTTCAAATTACCGAGTCAAGAACTTGCATCAAGATTAGACTCTTACGGGGCAACCCCGAATCCCGTCCCGTCTGTCTCGCCCCGTGGGACACACGGGGTCGGGACAAAAAACAAATTACGGGCTTGGGCTCATGGGCTTGGGGCAAGAAAAAAATTTCACGGGCTCGGGCTTATGGGGTCGGGACAACTTGCAGAAAAATGTTGTCCCGTAAGTTTTATCTTTTGATTGTAATTATACTGCAACTTCAAATATTTAATTCTTGTAATATCGGGTGACCTAGAATAAATGGTCCTCCTCATACTTTTCTTATAATGTTTTTTCTTTTCAATCCTTAGACACGGTCATTTTCAAAAGATGTGTCGTCAAATTCTCTACAAAACTTAATCAAACTTATTTCTATAAAAAGTTAAGGAGAAAGATGAAACGAAAAATATTCAACATGACGGAAGGACCAACTTTCTAAGCTATATTGTTTTACAAATTTTGGAATATTTTAAACAGGCTAAAGACAATGAAACAAAACTAAAGATATTTTTGAGTACTTTAAAGTGCGCTCTTTCTCCTTATGCGGTTTACAGTTCGTTCAAATCTAAGTGAGTCGAATTACTCTAACAGTGGTTGAATTCCTTTCCATGACTTCAAGTTTATGCAAACGAGATGTTATTCTGTAGAGTGCATCAGTTATTGCTTTCATATCAGTATTTCTGTTTGATACAAAGATCATTTTCTCCGAATTACTAATCAAGGTCAAAATTCACCCCAAGATGACCAAAATCTGCTGTTGCTCGGTAGGTGCATTTATGAAGAAAGCTTTAAGGTAACTTTCGCAGCTGAATCTGGCACAGGTATCATTTCGCATCAAAATAAAAAAAAACCGAGCTAAAAAGGTGCTTTTGCATTGTGTATCCAATACTGGTTGATAGAGGTTTTTCAATGGTTTCAAAATGCGTGTATTCTCTTCTTCTCATCATCCAATTCAATGAAAGTGGTGGAACAAAACGTTATTTCAGCTTAGAAAGTTGGTCCTTTTCATCGTGTTGAGTATTCTTCATTCCATTTTTCTCCTTAACTTGTTATAGAAATAAGTTTGATCAAGTCTTGTAGAGAATTCGACGGCGCATCTTTTGGAAAAACGATGAGAGCTAAGGATTGAAAAGAAATTATATGCAAAATACAAGGACGACCATTTATTCTGGGCCAACCAATACTATCAAGTCAAAACCGTAATTTTACAATAACTAATAAAAATTAGCCTGGAGAGGCGAAATAATCCGAATTTAAACTTGAGAAGACGTTTCATATCTAAAGCTAGGCTTACAGTTCTTTCCTTTCTATTCCGAGCTAGTGAGTGGATGTAAAACACTCTTTTATACTGCAACTTTTAAGTTTTGACCCAAATAAATTAGGCTTAAATTTTGTCATGCGGATCTTTTGCAAAACTGAGTTTGAGACTTTAAGTATCTCTTGTAATAGTTATGGTTTATCACAGCAGAAAACATTTTTCAAAAAACTACGGGACAAACGGGATGAGACAAAAAAGCCCATAAATTTTTTCACGGGACAGACGGGTTCGGGACAACATTATTTGCCCACGGGCTCACGGGACGGAAAAAAAATTTTTATGTTCGGATACAGGCTCGGGGAAACAGAACAGTTTGTCCCCGAGGACTCTAATCAAGATGGCCGTCACTTCATGACTTAATACTAATGAAACGACGAAACGTACGTCGATCCATAAAATCAGTCGATGGAACACAGACAGGAGTTACGTCGGCCATAGGCGAAGTTTCTCCAGTACCAGTGGAGATCAAAGACTAAACAGTAAACTAACGTATATTTGTTGTTTTACTTGTACATATTCTCTTAACTTTCTTCTGTGATGCAATGAAAAAGACAACTTGTTACTTTCATAAATGGGTTTTTTTGTTTCTGCTCCTACCAACTTTCCAGTGCAAAGTTTGCACTTACGTTTTCATATTGCGTTAAAATATATTTACATCCTACTTTTTCTATACAGGATTGTCTGCATGATCACCTACTTCTTCTGTTATACTAAACTTATCTTTCTCTCAATAAATGTTTATAGACTGGAAGCAATCAAATACTAAGTAACCAAATAATACGTTTTAAACTAATATATGGAATGCAACAGTTGAAACTATAGCAGTTATCTATAAAATACTGCCGGTAAATGGCGGTGTATCGGCAAAATAACTCCGGTATACCTCGGTACACCGTCGGTATTTTGACGATTTACCGCACGGTATACTGAACGGTAAACCGTCGGTATCTTGCCGGTTTTGAATACACGGGTTTTGATTTTTCTAAAACATTTGACTCCGTTCCCCATTCTCTCTTGTTAAAAATTATCTCGTTGTGGTGTGCGTGAGTCTTTGTTGTTTCTTCTATCTTCTTATCTTTGGAAGCGTTCTCAGTGTGTGCTGTGAATGATTCTGTCTCTTCTTCTTCTCCTATTCCTCAAAGCAGTGTGCTTGGTCCTTTTTTATTTCTTATTTTTATTAATGTCTTCCTCTGTCGCTTCCACCTGATTGTGAAATCTGTCTCTTTGCTGATGATGTTTTTTTGATTGTTCCTCTTTCCTCTACCGATTATTCTAATTTTTCTCATGTTCAAAAATGTATAAACTCTGTTTCTCACTGGTCTTCTTCCAATCTCATTAGAGATCTGCGGAACGCTCCCAGCCCTGCAGGACTTTTAATGCGACCGGGACCAGGTTTTTTTGAAAATAGTCTAGTATGGAGTATAAAAATTTCTTAGTTTCTGTGATCGATTCGCCATGATAAACTATCTATATTCTGGGTAAGTTTTATTATCCGTTGAAAGATGATGTTTTTGTGTTACCACAGTTGACTGATTTCTGACGACATTTATCACCGAACTACAGAAAAAGTTTACTTAGGTTTTTTTCTCTCTCCAACAGTAGATATTTCAGCAATCTCTTTGAATATTTTGTCTCTCGTGATTAAAAAAGAATTTTCTGCTGTTCTCTCTTATGATTGGCTTATCCATGGAATATCTGACAGCCATTTTTCCGTATTTTGCGCATAGACAGACACATTTTGTAAGACCCTAGACTAAAGTCAAGGGAAAAAACGAACATTAACGTTCATCGTACGAACCCGCCAATATCACTCATACAAGGTTTAATAACCAAATATAATTTTGAAAATTTTATGTAAAATTGTTCTTTGAGTTATTGTCCTTCTAAAATTTTGGAAGCTAAACTATGGCTTCTACTGATATTGTAAGTGGAATTTAACTAACTAACCTTGACACTGGTACAAAGTAAAAATAAAACCTTGATTGTTCACGTGTATGTTATTTAGAAAAAAATTTATCATGATGTAATTGATGATGTCATTAAGACGGTACGAGAAGCACTTCTTGATGAAGGATTTGATGAACATACATTATCGGAACTGAAAAAAGTAGGTTTAGTTTTGGTTTCAGTAGATTTTGGGAGTCAGATCTATAACACATTGGTGTGACGGAGATATAAGGAAAAGCAATACCTTTTTAATATCCGATATTTAAGACAGGTTGAGGTTTATTAAACCTTTCTATCTCATTACTCAGTTCTGGGTTAATCGGTTAGACAGTTCAAAAGCACTTGAACCATTGCCATCAGTTGATGACGCTAATCTGCGTTTATATGGCGGTCATAAACATTCCTCGCGTGGGCATACAACAACAATGATTAAACATGATTTATCATCATCATCAACGTTGCCTCCTAACTTGTCGGCATCCGGAATAGCGCATCAGATTGTAAAACAAGTTCAACCAACAGTTGTTAGTAGTAATATAATTTCGTCTCAACCGAATCCAACAAACTCGTCAACAACATTTCATACAGCGTCGATAACATCATTACAACATTTACCGCCATCATTTGTGCAAAATTTACCGGCAAATCCAGTTATATTTCAACAAAATGGTATATATATGTATTATCGTCGCCTTCTATAGTTTACTAATACATCCTAAAATTCTTCTTTAGGCACACCTATTACTATGGGAAATGCAGGTGTTGCATTTCAACTCAATCAACAAATGTTTAAACAAGTAAAGAAAATCGTATGAAAAATGATTAAGACACAAGCAATGATTTTTATGCTTTTAGAATCGTAGTGGACCAAGTAATATATCTCAGACTGATGGTCAGTGTGATGACATGACAAAATCTTGCGAACAAAAACAAACAAAATCAAAGAAGAAAGCGATTCAAATATCTTTTCAATTAGATGGAACAGTAGTACCAGCGGTAAGTGCTCTTTAGTCATTGGTAAGAGCAAATATCGTAATATGTAAAACGAACTCTTAGATCTCTGATGACGACGATGAAGATGATAATGACGAGGAACCATTGGATCAAGTTGAAGATGAAGAAGACGAGACGAATGAAGAAGGAAATGAAGTATACTAAAAAGCATACTCGAGTTTGATTGCTTGAGAAACTTCTTTTTTCTCTATTAAAGGATCCAAAACCATTGTGTTCCGAGGATGATGTTAGTGAAGATGAACCAAATGAATTGTTTGAATGTGAGTATAATAGATAAACAGAGTATCAACTTAACAAACTATCTTGTTTTCTCAAATTTAGGTGATAACGTTGTCGTTTGTCAATATGACAAGGTTTGTCATTCTCTCAGAGATGTATAAAATGAAGTCACGTAGATTCTTCTTTCGTTGTAAAACTTTCTCAAAGGTCATGAATGATGTATCAATAGATAGCATGTAGCTTACCGTTTATTCCAGAATTAATTTTGCTATTGTTTGCAACCATCTTTACTTCTAGATAAATCGGTGTAAAAATAAATGGCGTTTTACATTGAAAAGTGGTATTATGAATATCCAGGGCCGAGATTATGTATTCAGTCGATCAACGGGTGAAGCTACTTGGTAAAATTTTATTCGTAAGCATAAGACCTTTTACTGTAAATATGTAGCACATGAGGAAGAAAGATTTATACAATTTTTCTATCGTTTTTTGTTCTGAACACGATAATTTGAACACAATGAAGATTGACTTTTATTTAAATTTCAAGAAGAGTGTGTAAAAATCACAGACTCTTTGCTACCATTTTATATTATTGTTCTGAATGTTTGTTTTCTTTTTTTTATGATGATTTCATTTGTGTACGTATATGTTAATCAAAACAGCTGTTGTCTGTATTTTTTTTCTATAGTTATTTATTTTTAAAATGTGTCGTCTGACTGAAGGTCAAAAATTAGTATATGTGTATCAGAAAGAAAAACAATATATATTTTTAAGGTTCAGTAAAACGAGTCTTTAATTTTCAAGAGAGTGAGCAAATTTCAGTTATTGGGCGTTTAAGAACACCGAAATGCTTAAATGGTGCTCTTGAATATGTCATTGAAATAAGGACCCAGATGACACAAATAATTACATGGCTCGATAAAATTTCTCTCTTCCGCTATGGTACGTGATCAGACAGATAAGTGTATCCGCTTTAATGTCATCAACGCACTCAAATATCAGAAAAGTGATCCTCAAATTCACTGGATAAAAGTTTTAAGTTTAAACAGACCATAAATAATATTTCATTTCCTCATATTTCCTTCTTCTGGCCAAGCACCGTTACCGAGATATTCGCTGAGGACACCACTAGCGTCTTGTGGTATCCCCAGCGAATATCTCGGTAACGGTGCTTGGCCAGAAGAAAGAAATATGAGGAAATGAAATATTATTTATGGTCTGTTTAA